CGTTTCGTCTCCAGGCGAGGTGACCTACTTATTGCATCACTACTTTGCGTGCAGCTCGTTTATTTTGTCGTCTGCTCTTTATTGATTGTCATGTGCCTTTATCGATTTGCCTCGTCGCTTCAAATGAGCTGACCTTCGGTGTTTTGTTTTTCGTCTAACGCTGCTTCCTGCCTTATGTTATGTTTCTGTCCCGTCTATTTTCTTTCTTTCTCCATGCTTGCTACACCGGGTCTACGTCTAATCACAGGTTTATACAGTGTTCTGTAGTAAACCACGCTTCCCTGTTTTTTTATCGTTTCCTCCCAGCGATTATTTCGATTTTGTCCCCGTCAAATCTGTGCCCCGTCTGCAGCACAATTGCTCAGCTCTGAGAACAAACGAAAACCAGAACAGTCACCTCGTGCTACAGGGATAGAACTATCAGACCAAAGTATATGTGAGTTATCTGTTCAACCGATTTTTCCAGCAATTGCGCTGCTGAATAACAGTAGTGTAAACTGAGAACTTATTGCAGAAGTAAGACAACATGGGGGTACTTAGATATCTATAGTTATCACAATCCGTGTACATATATTTTGCCATCGGGACCATGGCGTAATAGGAAAACAGGGTTAGATTAAAAGAAGTAATACAAACTATCACAGTTTTGAGTTTTATTTTGCTTTTTTATTAGGGTAGGGAAGCTGAATCACCGCAACATGCAAAGATACATGCCAGCACCGAGTTCTGTTGCCCGATTTGATTTTCAAGGTCTCTAACCAACTGCACTCAAAATCCTTGTGGCCGCATCCAGGGAGTCGGAGTATCTATAGCTAACTTACTCGGTGAGCAAATCAAACAAGAATGCTCAAACATTTACCGTCTCTTTGGGTTTATGTGACAGATATATCCGGTTTGAAAGTATACATAAAATATTTCAAAGTAACACAGTTTACGTAACGAATTGCTGGGAGTTAAGGACAGTATGCAAACACTTTCTAAAACATCCAACCAAAGAGAGGTGACAACTGATTTAGGGAGAGAATTTTAGGTGTTGAAGTGCCTAAAAGATAAATAATTACGTCAACACTCTAGATGGCCGTATCGTTCAGTTAGTTTCGGGCATTTACCTCTGAGCTTGAGTTCGTGGATGTTTCAGCAACTGACAGCATACTTGGTTGGGTTCACTAAATATTTGACACACTAACATGTGCTCACCGCACAGGCTTTGGTGGCGTCCGCTGAAAACTTCTAGTAAGTTCAGTCTTCGCTAGTAAGGCAGGTTGGGTACACCATTGACATTATTTGTTACCCTTCTTTTTGATGTTTCTAATTCCTCAAGGTCGCACGTCGTACTACTTTTCTCGGCTTTGATGGTGTATTCAACGGGAGGTCGCGCGTAGGGATTGAGTATCTTTCGGAAGGTGTATCGACCAAAGCCCGAATGCCCACCGCCGCAGACTAACGTGCTGGTTGCTCATTTTCGCAGCTGCTTCAGGCTGTTTTGAACAGTTAAGGTCACTCTGAATGAGCACACCAAGGTCGCGTTCTTTTGAAGTAGTCTATAATATGTGTGACCCAAAGCAATACACATAGTTATGCGGTCATGGCTTATTGAACAACTCGACAGTTGTCTACTTTTAGTAGTGTAGCATTTTGAACTGAGCATTTCGAAATCTTGCTGAAGTTTCGCTGGAGCTTTTCGTGGTTGTCTGGTTACCTGATCGCTCGCCATATCTTAATATCCTCAGCGAAGTACAGGAAATCGGAAGCCATTTCCCTCGCTAGATCATTTATGAAAACTAAGCATGGACGAAGCCCAAGTACCGCTCCTTGGTGTACACCACAATCACTTCAATTGCATCGTAGAGGGTTTCTGGTACTCTCACCTCCGACCGACTTTCATGCAGAAAGTGTCTATTCAGCGCAATAATGGTAATCAAGTTCATATATCTGAAGATCAGAAGTTAGATATCGCAATGAAATCAGGCACGTTTGCATCCACAGTATCATAGTCTAGAATTAAGACAGAAGATATCAGCGTTTTAAAATACAGAACAGGACATTCTTTGTTAGTGTATTACTTGTGATAACACAACTTGTTGCTCCATCGTGCCATGGCGAGTTAGGGTTTGGTAAAGGGTAAGCAAAGAGAATTGAGAATAGCGATCGAATGTCGCTATTGTTCTTTATTAATAAGTAGGGGAGTTTCGTGCAATTTAAATATGCCTCGTCAAAAACGTCTATAACTAGACAGCCACTCAAACCTTCGATCCTTATGATCAACCAAGCTCCAGTTCAATGCGAATCACGGTCTACAAGGCGATTGTCTGTCGCAATCCATCCACAAAACATGTGCTTCAGCATGAACATTCAATCTGTCATTAACTGTTGTACCAGGAGTCGCTGGTCAAAGGCCTAGTCGCTAAAGGGGCAGAGGTACCAACCAACATCCCAGTGGTCCCGGATTCGAGGCCTGTACTCGCCACTTGATGAGACCAAATACAATGGAAACACGTTGCGTAATGCAGTACGTTCGGTCGAGCAGAACTGACAACGGTGATCGACTGCTTCAGCTTTGCGCCGATCACGGCCTCTTTCTGTCGAGGACTAGCTTTTACGGATCCTGGCGCAAACGCGTCACCTGGAGACCCCCATCATCTAGCCAGCCATAGACAGAAAGTAACCACATCGCTATTAGCCATCGCTGGCAAGGTAGCACATGAGATTGCAAATCAATATAGCATACGTATCTCACTTCGGATCACTTTCTGGTATGTGCCGAGGCTGCACTACGTTTTGATGGCTCCCATCAGCGTCTGCAGAAACGACTAAACGTAACTAAGAGTTCTGCCCCAAAAGTTTTCCGCACATTTCAGGATACAATGGCCTCACAGCTGAAGACTGCCTCAGGCACAGACATTGCAACACACCGGACACACATCCGCGGTGCCATGTACAACTCTGCAGCCCTGGTCTGTGTCCTCACCAGCAGTACCGTCAACCACTTGATCTCTGCACGATCCCTCCAACTTCTCGGAGCCCGTCGAGCAATAGCTGCTAGCGTTATATACCATTCAGTACACAAGTCCACTAACACTGAGCTCAAACAGCTTCTCCTGTTCCCTATCGGAAAACATGGAAAATGTCATCGACTGATGGCGGAAACAGTAAGGGATCGAGGACACTCCCTTAGAATCCTCCATTGGTTACCAGGGCGTGTGAGGACGAAGCGCCGCCCAAATGTACAGCCTGTGTGCGATGTGACAGGTAAGCGGAAAACCAAGAGTGTAGTTGGCCAGTGATCCAAACGAGGCAAGTTGCGCCAGTTGACCATCGTGCGGCACGCGGTCAACCGCTTTACTCATGTCGAGGAAGACAATGACCAACGCCTGTACGTCACGTGGTTCAAAAACTCAAACATGCACCTCTGAGAAGATTTAGAGGGTTGGAACTCATGTTGAGACTTAGCAATAAGGTTGCGGCGTAGCAGGAAGCTAAACATACAAACTTTGATGATTCTTTCCATCAGTCTTGCTAAGACGGGCGTGTGGCTCATAGGACGATTATTGTCTGTTTTGACGGGGTCCTTGTTTGTGTCGCGGTGTGAATACATCGTGTTTCCGGGCTGCGGGAATGGTACTGCTCCTTATGGAGAGAGCAAAGATGTTGGGAACCAGGATTGTGATATCTTGCACTCCATGGATGAGTACGGTGGGGTGACACTATCAAGGACTGGGTGGGTAGACATTTTAAACGTGTGTAGTACGTAAGTGATGGTTCTCAAATTGAAGTAGACACTTCGTAGCTCGTCTTCGGTTAATTTACACGGGATAAATGTGATTTTGAAGTTTGCGTCAGTGAATGAACAACGGCAATGATCGTTAACGAGATCGCAAAGACTAGCGAGGTCAGTAACAAAAGTTATCTAAAAGCACTAGTGAAATGATAGCTAAGGCTTTGCCGTTGCGTTTGTTTTTATGCTTGAACAACTGGGTTAGCGGGTTCACTTTATTAGTAGTACCAGGCGCTGTGCGTTCCGCAGAAACATGCGCTGCGTTCTGCGGCTTTCACTATTGTGTAATTATTTCGTTCAGACATACTATGCGATGAAAATCCTTTCCGTTTTTGAACCTAGAGCGCACTTTGTTGCTAGACATGCTCTGGAATGGAGCGACTACATCTAAACAGTAGGTAAGCTTGGTATACAGGTCATAGGTGGCAATATCAGCATCAGTAGACAGAAAGAAGGAGTACCAGTCGGTTTATCTAAGGAGTAAGAAGAAGACCTCCATGTTAATGCGATAGAGTGGACGGGTATGAGTGCAGCTTGTGGTCTTACAGTATTCCACCGTGATCAGCTTGAAGGATAGCTTCACCACTTTATGGTCACAGGCGGGAATATAATCCAGCACTCTGGAGCAGGCGTCGCAGATATCACAGGTAGATTAGATCAAGGATGTGTTATTTTCTGGTTGGCGAGTAAACGTGTTGTGTCTAACCATTTGCCAATGTAGTGTCCACAAACTTCCGGTATCGGAGCGGGACAGGTTGCTTGCGCTATATTAAAGTCAACCTAACATTTTATGGTGTAAAGGCATTAGGGATCCTTCAGTAAATTGTTTGGCTAGTTCATCGACATCGGCACTGGAAATATTTGGTCGGTTATAAATGCAGCCAATAAGAAATTCGCCAACCGCCCGAACCCAGATTGTGTCCTCAGGGTTACCAATGGAAAATATATGAAAGGAGGTTTCCAACTCATTACTGACATAAATGAGATTGCCACCTAAAATTTGTCGATCAGGTCCACTGCAGAAAGCCTTGTAGCCAGGAATTAGCAGTTGTGTCGGAGGAATTGGCGACGTGCCAGGTTTCGGTGCTCAGTACTATCGGTGTGTTAGGCAGAGTGATGAACAGGCCTAGGAGAGGCATTTTATGTCTGACGCATCTGGCGTTTATGAGGAGCATGTGATATACCCTTTGGTTGCTTGAGCCCCTTAGTATGGAACCTGAGTCAATCACAGAATGATAGTCAAAGATGGGGACGTCGGTTGACTAGGGATATATAGATCAGAATTAGCATTATGAAGCGGTACGCAGGTGTGAAGAGGGTTTGATTGAAGTGGCACATTGAAATGAACGTCGAAGCGGTCAGCGAGAGTAGGATTTGGGACGGGGTGTCCCCGAAAATTAGATGGTAGCTGCTGATCAGATGTAGGACAATAGGCAACGGTGTGAGGGTCGGAGACAACAGAATCTACCCAAGAGGCATTCGTCAACGCTTTTGAGTCGACTGTAGCAGGCTGCTTAGGGTAAGTAGGTGATATAGGGCTGGTGCCTGTTCGAAAAGAGCTGGGTGTGGCTGGCCGGACCCCGCGAAATTCCATAAAAAGTAGCCGTGGGAGCAGTCGTAAGTTATAATGTTTAAACTTTAAGAGCTAGACTGAACTTAGAGGAACGAGTATTTGGATAAAAAGGTGTTGAGGTGTCCAATTTGTTGTTCAAAGAGACACTTCTATATAGAATGCGCCCGATATGAGGTGTTGAACCGTCTGTTGAGCGGACTGTTGTGAGTACGAATGCCAACTGTGAGGCTGGGTGTCCTTCGTAGGTGTGACAGTTGAAGCTTGGTTTTTGTAACAGTTCTAAGCTGTGTTTCAAATCCGAGAGGTAGTGGTTTGTTGTCAGCCCATCAAAATGATTAAGACCTAGACTTGTCGATGTTCAGCCCAGACTCTGTATGGGCTACGATGAAGCTATCACGAATCGTCGTTCGGTTGGAGTAGTGTGTTTTGCTGAGATTTTTGAAGTTGTATTTGGAGAGCTCTTTACTTGACTTGAGCGTAAGTGTTTGAGCTGTAGAGAGGCAAAGGGAATCGAGCGAGCTCATAATGGCTGCAGTATCAGGTGATGAAGCAAACCGGATCGCAACTTCAGTGTCAGATTTGCGAGAGTCAGACACGCTGTGATGAGTTAGATTATTGCTTGACTTGGTCATGGTGCAACGTAGTGTCGGAACCGGCGACGTAACACGATTAACGTTGCGTTGTGAATCTTTCACGTGTAAAGGCTCACCTTCAAGAAGAACGTTAAGGTATTGTGTGTGCGATGAATCCGGATAGACAAAGCGAGACGGGAGTTATGCGCTGTAGCGTCGTTGGAACATTATTCCTAGCCGTTGACTCAGCAAAGGATTGGATCACCCTTTGTAAGGCAGTTTTGTCGGGTATATTTAAAATATGCCTTAGTATCCTGTTTTCTGATGAGGAGTTTACTAGCAACATATCTGCGCGAGGTCTCGCCTTTGGAATTTGGAGATAATTGGACACATACGTCTACGACTTACTTTGGCGACCTGCCTTACAACTCTCGAGCAGCAGCTTGCAAACATTTAAGAGTAATTCCGGGGATTTTAAAGTGTTATTTGGTCTGGTACATTGAATATCATGGCGTTATGGCGCGACGAATGCGGTCGTTAAATCCGCTCATTATAACATCGAGCAGTTCACCAGCCTCTAATACATCTAAGTCTTCTCAGCTTGCTGTAAGCCCGTCAAACGAACTAAGGTCATGACTTTAGTCGGAGTATCATTAATCGACGTTACTTCACTCTTAAGTGAGATAATCTAATTTTCGAGAGTGTGAACATTTCTGGGAACTTCAGTAACTGGGTCAGATAGCTGGAACTCACTTGGATGTGTCCTGGATGGAGCGGCATTAATATTTGGAAGCATTGCAGACTTCCTCCTCTTCGCAGCAGATGTCGCTACAAAATGACGTGTAGCGACCATAGAGAATTGCAAGATAGATGCGATGATGCCATACAAAAACGGTTCTTACAAAATACGAGACGTGTATGAGGAAAATGTGGTGCAAAAGATTATTGATAGGTATGTTTGTCGATTGGCATCACAAATAGACTAACAATGCGAAATGAATGGTCGAGAGACGCCTAAATAACAAACGCAAAAACACACCATTTCGCGTTCGACATCCAACACTCACTGATATCCAATATATGTCACCAATAATGGCAGCAAGTGAACACTTGCTTTCATATCAGGTTCCAGGTTAAATCCCATTTAGCTGAAATACTACATTAGATTGAATGAGTTGACTATTTTTAATAATTGTAGCAAATTCTATCCATTACCGCAGGTTGGTAACGTCTACATATGCCAGTGTGTTTTGGAAAAAAATACCATTGGTTAACACACGGATATTAACTTCGTTTAAGTTGGTTCCCGCAACGATAACAAGTGGCCGATAAGGTGTACATTCAAAAGCTAACTAGCTTACATTTGGAAGCGACCTGTTAATGACAAAATTGATTCTACATCATCCACCTAATGTGTGCTTTTCTGTAGTGTAATTCCGCCGTAATACCAACCAGAAAGGGAACTCATTGAAACTGGAAGAACCGTACGGCAACCGATTGCCCCAGAAATTTGTTTTCTACTCCCGCATGTCACGCGTGGGATATTTTTCCCGACTCCGTGGATTCTGCACCGATACTATCTCTAGTTAAAAATGTTTGGATGACGCATTAGACAACTTACACTTAGTTAATTTAATCTATCTCTCCGTCCTACTCCCGGAAAATACCTTGGATTTATAATCTGTCATTTATTGGAACTGAGACAACGCGATGTTCATGGCCACTGCAATAAAAATTACAAGTCCCTTCCTTCTACAGTAAAGTAATGACTGATTTTTTAAACGTTTTCCGATAACCCCACTAGACCACCCAATGGTGCATGTGAAGAAACATATCTTAATCCGTATAAATACTATATTTATGGTTTAAATAACAAGGCGCGTTGATTTTGGAAAATAACGAGCGTTACTGCCCATTGGTCTCTAGAAAATTATCAGTTTCATACCATTTTGAAAGACAAACCAACGCTTCCTTCCGAAAGATCATTGGTAGGTTTTCAAGCTATTCAGTGACCCCATCCTCGAGTACTGCAGCATAATATACGACAATATGAGAAAAAGTGACAGAATTGCTGTGGAGCACATGCAGAGGTCATTTACTAAACGTGTGATTGGTAATCATACTGCAATGAGTTATCGAGAACGATGCAATGAACTCCATCTCGAACCACTATTGGTTCGGCGATTGAAGCGAAAATTCTTAATGCTTTTCAACGTGCTACATAAAAAGACCTATTCAGACCTGCCTACACACAAGTTACAACATTGCTCAACTCGACCGCTTCGCGACAAAGATTTTACACTGAATATACCGAAGGCTAGTACGAACGTCCGCTCTAATTTCTTCGTGGTCAGGTACAATTATCTGTGAAATAAACCACCAATAACATGTGACAATGTGGCAACATTTAGAAGTAGGCGAGTCAACTACCTTGATTTAACTACCTTAGCTCTATATTTACATGGGAAAATCCCCTCGATGAGCAATTCCAAGAGGGGAACGAAAACATCTAAACACCAATATTTTTAAAACAACCCTTTGGCCTCAACTATCCGCCAGAATGTTAATATATGAAACTCAAATCCCAATACTCCACCTATGCATGTTACCCATGCAAGAGCACGGACTTTTCTGTACAAATTGATCTGTACCGTTATAGACAAAGTTTCGCTCATAAAGAGAAATATACCTATTATTATTATTATTATTATTGCCGAGCAAGTCATATTGACCAGACGTCCGGGAGACTATCTAAGATAGTTCGGGCATTTTGCCCAATGCGGCTCTATACCTGTGTGAGAAATACTGTAGTCAGCGCGGCATAGCCGTATTCTTTAACAGATAGATTTCAAGTAGAAATGCATCAAATCTAGACTCACTCAGACAGCAGCCACACGCCCGGAAAAGCACTGTACGCGCGTTTCATCCTTTCGGGAATCATCAGCAGTGCGCATTCCATGGGACTCTGGTAGGGCTCGAACCCGCAACTCGACTGTTGCCAGTCCGTGGTTAAGATCACTAAGCTACGGGGGACGGTAACGACCACCGTGAATAAGTTACCAGATGTGATATAGCGCCGCTCACTTTCCACTGACTTACACGTTACTGCCGTGCCTAGGACAGGGTCGTCCCCTCACCAGTAATGTGTAAGTCAGTGGATAGTGAGCGGCGCTATATCACATCTAGTAACTTATACACGGTGGTCGTTACCGTCCCCGTAGCTTAGTGGTCTCAACCACGGACTGGCAACAGTCGAGTTGCGGGTTCGAGCCCTACCAGGGTCCGATGGAATGCGCACTGCTGATGATTCCCGAAAGGATGAAACGCGCGTACAGTGCTTTTCCGGGCGTGTGGCTGCTGTCTGAGTGAGTCTAGATGTGACAAATTTTTACCTATACCATGCAACTTCCCCTACTACTCTTCTGTAATCAGATAGATTTTATTTGATAAGGTCATTTCAAGTGATTGGCTGTTGTTTGACATCCATGTGGTAGCTGCGCTTGATGTGCATGTTGACAATGTGTCTACCTGCCTATTACCCACTACCTCGTCCATACTGGCTCTAGGAGACAGTCGGCCGTTGCTGGAGGGGATGGGGTGCACGTTCCTTGTGGTCGTGCTAGGCTCAAATAGTGGTTCCACGCACTCAGTGTGGAGTGGACAACGGTCCAGCCACCGCCTTACGTGCGCTTGATTCCCCAAATACAGCGTGCTTGTGTTTGCCTGTGAAGGAGTGTGGGCCGACTCCGTTGATGAAACGTGGCTCCTATCCATATGCCTCTCGGTCTTATTCCTTCGGGTTTACACTGGATATGGGTTGTGTGGATGGAGCTGTGGGTGGTGCAGCGCAAGCCATCCATGGTCCCTCTGTAGGCGCAGGCGTCCTGTGGCTTACCACAGTGACAGGCAAATCCGAAACCGGATGCCGCCAACAATATGCCACGCCGCGCTTTACATAATCTAATGACCTGTCGATATAAAAGCTTGTGTTTCGGACAGATTCGTTTCATCAGCTCCTGCTGGTTTGTTACCTTGACCTCAGGAACCAATTGTACGCAGTAGTCGTGTTGAGCTATGTACACTAACCAATTTTCTGCGCTAGTATTGCTTTACTGGACGTGCTATGTAGAATCCTTCAAGGTCGTATATTTCGTGCTTGGAATCTCAGAAAATACTTTGGATTAAAGGTCGATGGAAAGCTAAGGTCGAATCAACGGGATTACTTCTTTCTTGCTTATTGTCCAAAAGTAGCATCTGAAGCCTTCTGCCAGCATGTTAACCAATGTCTAAACATCCTTGCACTTTTAGTACAAAGTAAATATAGATAGCTAGGAGTTCATCACCTCTACACTCACTCAGACTGCCATCACACCCCCGGATAAGCACTGTAAGCGCGTTTCCTCCTTCTGGGGATTGTCAGCAGTGCACATGCCATCGGACACAGGTGGG